TCCAGGGCAGATAACCTTCTGGCAATTAGCCTTTAAGCAGTTAACCTTCCAGTGCATAGTAAGCAACCATGTGCTTGCAACCAGAACCCTAAAATTGGCATTATTATGGGGGGAGATGGTGAGGAACAACTTTTACTTAGGAGAATATGACTGGGATGCATCTCCACCCCACAAATGTGAAGGCCTCCCTCCATGAGAATCCTGCCCATCCAGGTTTCTTAAATATAAGCTTAGAGAATTCCCAGTTCTCAGTTTCCCACATATGCAATGTGGTTAAAATTGTGCCGGACTCATATTAAGTCTACTGTGTTTGCTTTTATTAGTGTGGTGCATTTCAGAACCAGTGTAAAAATCTGAAACCAAATAGAATTAGAAAAAGAGTTCACATGTGAAAAGCAATTGGAACTAGAACTTCTTCTTTAAAAAACAATTATTTATTGAAATAATTTTATTGGGGACTCATACAACTCTTATCAATCCATACATCAATTGAATCAGGCATGTTTGTACATATGTTGCCCTCATTCTTTTCCAGACACTTACTTACTATTGAGTCCTTGGTATTAGCTCTTACCCCCCACCCCCTCCTCATACCCCCAATAGATTGTACATTGTTATTAATTTCATCTCTCACACCGAGTGGTGTCTCCCTTCTCCCATGTTTTCTGTTGTTCTTCCCCCTGGAGAGGGGTGTATGGTTATGTGTCAATCTTTGCAATCAGTTTCCCCTTTCTCCCTTCCCCTCTCTCTCTTCCCCCTACCTTTCTGGTATCACTATTCCCATTCCTGTTCCTGGATTCTGTGCGTCGTCAGCTTCCATCTCTTATCTATACCTGTGTACATGTTCCAGTCTAGTCTGAATTGCGAAACAGAACTGGGGTCATGGTAGTGGGGGTGTGTGTGGGTGTTAGGAAGCCTCAAGGAACCAGAGGAATATTGTGTGTTTCATCGATGCTTTACTGCACCCTGGTGACTCATCCCTTAGAACTTCTTAGAATTAGAGCATGGGTGATATTTGTGGTAGAAATAAAGGAATGCCCCAACTTTCCTAGTTAATATCTGTGGCTCATATTAGAGTTAAGTGATGCAGACTTGCAATAAAAAATGCAGGCTGCAGAACCAGCAACCACATGTTTATCAAGAGACCAAAGCAGTTATTGGAAGAATTTTGAAATATTAAGCAATATTAATCAAAATTGAATATCTAAGTGCTCAGTACAGGGGGTTGAGTGATACTTGGATTTCCCCCCAAACATTTGGAGAAATAAACTTAGAATTTAAAAGACTCTTTGGAAGGCACAGTTGGTGCCGGGAAGTCCTAGAAGTATGCGATGTTCATGTTACTAGTGTAGTTTAGTCTTCACATGTTCGGTTTTTGTTTTGTCGTGGCTTCCAAACTTGCTCGACATATAGGCAGTTGTCTTGCAAATCTGGGCCTGAACTCCAGAGGAAACTGGGCACACAAAACAATAAAAAATCAGATGACTCATTATACCCATCCCCCCCATTGTGCTACAACTCAAGGTACTTGTTTTCTATGTCAGTTGATCAATACAATCATTTTCATCCCAATGTGAGTTCAATAACATGTTGAATACACCTTTGTGAGGAGTTTTCTCTTGCAGAAAGGATACCATCCTAACAAGGGCATCTCCTTGAAGGGCATTAATTGCTACTTTGGGATTTGTTCTCCCAATGGTTTCAGTCAAACAAAGCAATCCATGTTCTTCATTTATTTTCATAAAGGTCCCATTTATTCTAGGAGAAAGGTTCATCCCTGATAACTCGAATGCCCTAAAGAGTGCCCACATTCTGCTGAAAGGAAATATTTTGTACAACTCCAGCCTCTTTCTTCTGTGGCAATGATAACCAGTTATTGTCAGACTTGGCTTTCCAGAGTGACATTTGGAATATTAGAAGAGATGATACAGGAAGGCGATTGGATTGGTGTTTCCAGGTTGTTTGGCAACTGCAAAACCCTTGCCTCAGCCTACATGATGAAGGAGAGATGGGAAAGAGAATGACAGGCATGGTGGATGGGCATAGGAAGGTCAGTATCGAAAGAAGTTGATGTCACACGGCTTAAAACCAGTTAGAGTATAAAGGAATAATATGACAAAAATTAGAAACAAAGTCTGTTGATAATGATAATAATAATAATAGTAATAATGAGACAGCGCTAAGGCATCCATTCCTCCTGTAATTTGATTTAAAAGGAAAGGTTATTTTATTTGGTAGGGATTTCATTTCTTCTTTTCCAATGAGAAGAGTATCATACCATAAACTTCCTAACTTTCCTCTATATGAGTTGTGTAATTCTCATCCTCCTGCGTCTCCTCTTCCTCTTTGTTCTTTTGTTTCTTATCTACAAGCTCTCTTTACATCTAGAAGAATGCTGAAAACTGATTTTTTTCCCTTCTATTTTTTAATGTAATGGGCATTCCCAATGGTGCAGTGGATATGCTGTGGGCTGCTACAGGCAAAATCAACAGTTTGAAACCACCAGCTGGAGAAAAATGAGACTTTTTACTCCTGTAAAGAGTCACAGTCTTTGAACCCACAGGGTAGGGAAGTTCTACCCTAGGTGATAGTGCATTTTGTTTGGAAGGAATTCAGGCGGTTGTACAAGGGATGCAATTACACATATCAAGGGCAATTAAACAACCACTTTGTCTTTCCCCAGCACCTCTCTGAAGATTCAGAGTCCGTTTTCACTCTATGATATGGCAATAGCTAAATGAAACCATAGGACATCCATTAATTTGATTCTAAAGCATAGCACATTGAAAAAAACTTCATGATTCACTATTTGACAAAAGAAAATTATTTTCAAGGCAAAATTCTGGGTATTATTCTGCACAGTTTCAGAGTCACAAAAATAGAATATTATAACTAAAAGTTAATGACTATTTACATTTCTGATAAAAATAGAGGCTATTTAGAAATACCTGTGTCTGTCTGAATTAGTCAGTCTCAAGTCAAATTGAGAATACTTAACTC